TGCCCCTCCCTCACCATATTACGGAGGGAAAATAGTTGGTCAAGAGAATAGGGATCTTAATGAACCCAACTACTCCTTTACAGATTAGTATTGTAATTATGTAATGCATATCTTCCCTCAGTCTATAGTGTTAAATCAGACCTGTTCAATTTTCAGATGAAGAAATTAAAGCTGTCTATAGTAATAGGAAAAAAATGCTCTAAATCACTATTGATTAGAGAAATGCAAATCAAAACAACTCTGAGGTACCACATAACAACTATTAGATTGCCTAATATGACAAAACAGAAAAATGATAAATGTTGGAGATGTGGGAAAATTGCAACACTAATGCATTGTTGGTGGAGTTGTGAACTGATCCAACCATTCTGGAGAATAATTTGGAACTATGCCCAAAGGGCTATAAAACTGTGCATACCCTCTGACCCAGCAATACCACTTCTAGGTCTATATCCCAAAGAGATCATGAAAAAAGAAAAAGGACCCACATGTACAAAAATATTTATAGCAGCTCTTTTTGTGGTGGCCAAGAATTGGAAATTGAGGGGATGTCCATCAATTGGGGAATGACTGAACAAGTTGTAGTATATGAACGTAATGGAATACTATTGTTCCATAAGAAATGATGAGCAGGTGGACTTCAGAAAAACCTGGAAAGACTTATGTGAACTGATGCTGAGTGAAGTAAGCAGAACCAGGAGAACATTGTACACAGTAACAGCAAGACTGTATGATCACTGACTTAGATAGACTTAACTCTTCTCAGCAATGCAAGGATCTGAGACATCTCCAAAAGTCTCATGATGGAAAATACTATCCACATCCAGAGAAAGAACTATGGAGTCTGAATGCAGATCCAAGCATACTATTTGCCCTCTGTCTTTTTTTTTTTTGTTTTTCTTTCTCATGGTTCCACCCATTGGTCCTAATTCTTCTTTACAACATGACTAATATGAAAATATATTTAATATGAATGTATATGTAGAGCCTATATCAAGTTGCATGCTGTCTTGGAGACGGGGAGGAGAAGAAGGGGGAGAAAATTTGGAACTCAAAATCTTATAGAAGTGAATGTTGAAAACTAAAAATAAATTGATTTAAAAAACAATCAGCCCTGTTACAATTGCCCATGTTAATGTGCTGAGCTGAAAAACAACTGTAGTTTTAGCACAATACATGTCTATCCTCGATTAACTCGATTTGTACAATGGGATCATGAATTATAGGTATGGAGCAGGAAGAGACATTTGAGGTCGGCTAGTACAGATACCTAATTTTATGTATGAGGAAAATGAGGCCCAATGCTGGGCCTCAGAGGTTAAGTGATTCACACAGAGTCACAGAGATGATAATAATGATAAAGAAATGGGTTTCATAGCTACTACCTGTCTCTAAGGTTCTCTTTGATTACCCTTCCACCAAAGTCCCTTTTCTTTTCTTATCCCAAGGAGGCTACCTTGCACCTTTAAATCCAACACAGGGAAGCTGCTGTCCAGTGCAATTAGTGCAAGTCAACTCCAACCCAGGCCTCCAAGTCACATGGTTTAAGAGGGAAAGTTTTGTCCAAAGCCAAGGGGAAGAGAGCACAGACCAAAGGAGCCAGCTGCTGCCCACAGCTCTTGCCTGAGTCAGTCAAGCTGCTTATTCCGGCCTTAACTACAGCAAGGCCCAGCCCTCTGCAGAGTTTTCTTCCCCCCGGGGTTTTCAGTGCTTTTACCTCACTAGGAGACTAAATAGCCAGCCTTCATGCTGGGTTTCTCAGGGGCTGCAGCTATTGGCTGCTCCTGCTGCTAAGATTCCTACAGCTGTTGCCTCCAGCTGTCTTCACCATGCCAAGCTTCCAGATGTTCACTTCCCTGGGGCATGGAGAAGGCCCTGAGGAAGAGGCATCATTCCAGGAAATAAAGCTCACTCAAGGTGGCAGCTTTGGCATGGGAATGGGAATTATCCTCCTTTTTTATACTTCATCATTATTTGCCATCCCCTCCACCCCACCTCATCCTCAGGGAAAAAAAAGGGACGGGTTATGTGTATGAAAGAAATAAAATTAAATCCAAGATACATTTTAGAAACAGTGAAAATAAACTCACTTAATGTTGAAATCTTAAAATTTGCATTAATGAGCAGTATGCATTTAACTTCCTCACAAAGGAACTGTTAAATATGAGTGGTTTATAGGCAACTCCAAATCAATTTCTGTTTATAATGTAAAAGCAAAAGTAACAGTGGATCTATACTTGATTAAAAAAAAGTTTTATTGTGGCTTTTGTTTAAGCCAGTTTTTAATTCATGTGGAATTCATGATTTTGTTACTATATTTTTAAACTTCTCATTTAATTTTTGACATATTGGCATCACTTAAAGAAATGTGATGGGCATAATTAATTCTAATGTGGTGAGACAATATATGCAGTTTATTCTTTGCCTTCTCCCTGAAGAAAAAAAAAAGACTTTTTTTTTCTACCTTCATAGAATGTCTTATAACCCTTCACCCTTGAGGGAAAGTGCTAGAAAGGAATAGGGTACTATGTTGAGTAGGCATAGGAAGAAGTGATACTTTTACTGTTATTTGCCTTTAGGACTGCTCCTTTAAGTAGACCTAGTAATGACTGAAATTTGTTTGACGGTGGGTTAATCACCAACAGCTACTGCTACCTAGGCAAGCCCCAGTTATAAATTAATGATGGGAGCTGCAGAGAGAGTGGGTGGAGATCTCTGGATATATACTGAATTGAGCAGCATGCCCTGAGGAATATTCTGAGGAGAGAAACCACTTGAGTATACAGTATCCATATTTAATTTGTTTTTACTACAACCATTCTATTTCTATAACTATTTCTATGTAGCTTTTGTTGTAGTCTATGAGATTTCTACCAGTGTGCCACTGTTCTGGAAAAGTCAGGTGATCCAGTTTAATTCTTTTTTTTTTTTCCCCATGGCTGAAAAAGAATGAAACCTGTTAGAATGACACTTTTTAGCCATTCATTTTCACAAATCTTACTAGGCTTCCAAGGAGCTTGAGATCCCACAGGACCTTAGAACTATTAGTTTTGGAGACGGACAGTGGAAGGAAAAGAAGTGAAATTTCCCTGTTTGGTAGTCAAGTGGGAACAAGAATGAACCATCTTTCTTTTGAATTCCCAAAGCCTTTCACGTAATCCTCTTCAAAGATCAACATATTGCTAAAAAAAAAAAAAACCAGGGTGTTAGTGCAAAAACATTGAGAACAAACTGTGGAAAACATTCCATGGGAGTCAGAAAACCTGGTCACTTACTAGTGACCTTTTCTAGTTATTATTCATCCCCTCTGAGACTCAGTTTTCTAATCTGTAAAATGATAATGATAATAATTGTGTCTCACAGTTGGGAGGAAAGTTCTTTTTTTTAACTAATTTATTTTTAGTTTTCAACATTCGCTTTTATAAGATTTTGAGTTCTAAGTTCCCCCCCTCCCTCTACTTACCCCTCTCCAATACAGAATGAAATCTGTTATAAGCTATACATGTATGATCACATTAAACATATTTCCATATTAGTCATGTTGTGAAAGAAGAATCAGAACAAAAGGGGAAAACCATGAGGAAAAAAAGAGAAAATATTATGTTTAGATCTGCATTCAAACATGGATGTGGATAGCATTTTCCATCATGAGTCTCTTGGAACTGTCTTAGATTGTTGCATTGCTGAGAAGAGCTTAGTCTAACAAAGTCTGTCATCGCACAGTGTAATTGTTACTGCGTACAATGTTCTGATTCTGCTCATTTCACTCAGCATCAGTTCATGCAAGTCTTTCCAGGTTTAAGGAAAGTTCTTTGTAAACTAGAAAGACCTACTAAATGTAAACAATTATTTTTCTATTTTCTGACTCCAGGTTAATAAACTTTAAATTGGAAGCACTATGTTGTGAAAAATCGATTTCATAATATTCTAACAGATGCTACCTAGCATAGAAAACACATAAAATGTACAAGAGCATACATTTGACTCCAAAATATATGTGATGAAATATGCTCATTGATCTCTCTCCCCCATTTTTTTTGACATTCAAAAATGCATATCAAGCCAAAGTGACAAAAGTATCTCCTGTTGGCCAGTGGTTTGAGAATATAAAGTGTACAATATTTTGTACATTGCTTGGTGAAATTCATAATAAACTTTTTGGTTTTCTGGTCTATGGTTAAGAGTTAAGATTGAGGAACATATGCTTACAATTTTATTAAAATGAATCCAGGGATCAATTCATTTACCAATCAGGTGTTATTCGGCATGCAAGTGTAAGTAACAATAGACGTCAACTTAGAAATACTATATTCTTTATAACTCTTCATTCTTTAGCTTCAGAAGATTGGCATAAAGCATTTGATATTTTTCATTCATGTGAAGATAAAGATAAATAATATAGAAATGCCTATTATAATTTGGTTGAATTTACTTCATCAGAGATCTTCAAAAATTAAAGTACAAGATTCTAAGAGATACGCTCTTTTTTTTGATATGCTCTTTTAAATGTACTGCCTCAGAGTCAATGAATGTTATGTTTTATCTCAACGAAACTTTGCATATTAATAAGTTCATAACTCAGAGAATATGTAATAGTGTATAATCATAGCATTTTATTGTCTATAAGTATAGAACCCCGCATGCAGAGGAATCATCCTGTAGATTTAGACTCTGATTTCAAACATTTAGTCAGTTAATAAGCACTGATTACCTACCATATGCAAGGCACTTTGTGCATGTGTATGTGTGTGTGAGTGTGAGAGAGAATTTAATGAATCTTTTATCTCTTTTTTACTTCTTCCAGCTTTTACATAACCAAAGGACAACCAGAAACAATAATATATGGGCAACCTCTTTTCTAACCAAGTTATATGAGAATTGTCTTTATAATGCCTGTTCTTGAGAGTTACTGATACAATTCCACCAAGTCCATTACTAACAATGCATCCCTTAATGTCCTTTCCACAAAATCCTTCTAAAAGTTTTCTTTGTGATTCCAGGGCTGTGGTTCCCAGATGAGCATGTCAGAAATGTCCTGTAGTGAAAGTACGTCCTCTTGTCAGTCTCTAGAACATGGCTCAACTCCAGAAATCCTCATTGGCCTGCTTTATAATGCCACAACTGGCAGATTATCAGCAGAAGTGATAAAAGGCAGCCACTTCAAAAACTTGGCAGCAAACAGACCACCCAGTGAGTGAAAATCTTTTTTTTTAAATTTTTTTAATCCTAATACTTTTTATACTTGTGGGACTCTCAGTGGTGGGGACTTCAATCCTATCATTTAGACCTACCCAATAAAAATGAAATGGTACAGTCATCAACTAATCTGTTTCATGTTTTCTATTTCCAATCATTTGGGAAATAAATCTGAAATTCAAAATATTAGTTATGAGTTAACAAGACTTTTAATTTTTTATGGTGACTTGAATAAATTAGCTTTATCATAATGTTTAACTATTAATGCCAGAAAAGAAAAATTAAAGCATTTTTAAAGTATATAATAGTTAATAGAACTATGTAAAACTATTGTTCTTACATAAAAGGTCGATGTCCTTGTGTTTCTCTGAGTGTACTTTTTTAAGCTATAGTATTTACTCATGTATTTTCTCTTTATGTTTTTTTTATTACTACATTTTGAGAAGAGATTATTTTCCCCAGGTAATTCTCCTTCATTTTACATTTTTTTTTCTACTCTTAAATAGCTGTCAGCAGAAACTCCTCTAAGGTACATGTTCTTTATCCTTGCCAGGGCAGATAAGTTAAAGCAGTAAGCTATTCGATACTAGTTGGTACAATTCCTCTGCCTCTGCCCCTTCCCCTAGCCCTGCCCCTGCCTCCTGCCCTTCCTTCCTCACCACCTTTATCTGTATTTCCCTATCTAACTTCCTTAGGCTGGGATACTGGGAGGGAAGGGCTTCTGATCTTGTAAGTGTACTTCTAACTCTGCTGAAAGTCATAAGCAGTGAACTAGGGCTTAAGACTCTTCCTGGTCATCCTTCCCTTGGCCCAAATGTGTCAAAACCTCTAAC